CTTGTTCTTAGGCTCTTAAAACCCTCCTGTGCTCGGGTAGCCTGTTTCATTGAGCCTCGGCAACAAGTACAAACCGGCTGGCTGGCAGGTTGGCTGCGGCCGAGCCTCTCCTCCCCAAGTGCTTTGTCATTTGTTTGCAATGCGCTCGCAGGCAGGGAAGAACACTTGAAAGGTGCAATTTGTTTTTGCTTCTGTAATTGTGAACTTTAAAACCAAAATTCCCCTCCGACACAGAGGTCCAACCGAGACTGGCGCAAACAAGCCCGCAGAGCTTGGTGGGCTTTGAAACAAGCCGCAGAACCAGAATCCACACTTATCCACACTTCCTAGATTTTTCTTGGCAACATTCAAAAGGAAGAGCCATTAATTCAGTGGGTTGCTGCTCCGTGTGAGTGAGGCTCACAGAATCAGAGTGCAGAGCAGCACACATATCTTGCCTTAAACGAGAATGTTGTCAAATACAGTCTAATGCTTCTATCATAAATGAAGAATTAAATGTATGTATTGGATTTTTTTGCAATCATTTCCTGCAGACCAAGTGCAGTGAAACCCTGCAGCAGGGCAGAGGTGCTGTTGGCCGCTCTCTCCTGCAAAGCTGCTCTCTGCAGCTCTCCCCACTGGACCCTGTGCTTGGGGTACAGCCAGTTCCTCTGTGCAGAGGAGCCCCAGGAAGTTGGCATTTCAGAGAAATGTCTTCTAATAATCCAGGCAAAAATGAAATTTTCATTTTCACCTCTGGCATTATTCTAAATTCCTCCATGTCTTTGTGGTCACTGTTCTTTCAGAAATAACTGATCACTGCATCCTCCTTTATTTTCCCCCTTGCCTTTCTTGAAAAGGTTGTTTTAATCTTCTCCCCACGCCAACTTCCCCACCACCTCACCTGCCTCACTGGTTTTTTCTGAACTATTTCAAGTTTTTCATCATTTTGAAATTAAAGTTTTGTTTACTTACAGATTTTTTTTAACTTAAGGAAAAGGCAATTCAATTTCTTTTTTACTTTAGGATATTAAGCAATGTTTACACACACACGTACACACTTGTAAACATTATCTGTTATGCATAAACAGAGAAGGTGTCAGGTTATTGCTGAAGTTCAAAAATATTTGCCAGCAGAAATAAAACCACTACTTCCTTCGGAAAAGCAAGAAGCTATCTGTTAAATAGTTTCACTTATAAGCATATGTATCTATTTTATGGCAACAGAATGTGAGATTAAAAGTATGCCTCCGATACTACCACCACTGCTACTAAGACAAATGTATTTCTGCAAATTGTTATTTCTGCTGAGGCACTGCTCTTCCCCAGCTGTCCCGTGCAGACTATACCCATGTGCTTTTTTCCTGTTCTTACCGGTATTACGCAAGAAGCCGGCGAAGCCACAAACACCCAACTCTCATACGCTCAAAACACAAGCAAACAGCACTTCTTTCCCAGTATGAATCATCATTACGTATTAGAAAGGAATAAGAAGGGATTCAAGAACACCAAACACCTCTGGTTCAGAAATCACCGAACACTGCACTAAGTTCAAAATGCAGCATTACCAACCTTTCATTAGCATCTTCTGCATCTCCACAGAGGAATATTCCCTTTTGCAGCATCCATAATTTATTCTCACAGCAAAACACCCCCACAGCTGAGGGAACTGCCCTCCCCGCACCGAAAGGCCCCCGACACGGCACCTCTCTGTAGGAAAAGGGATGAATACGCTCCGGAAGAGGCGATGCAGTGTGCATGCAAAAATTAAAAAAAAAAAAAACGAATTAAAAAAATGGGTGAAGCAATTTTAGTGCTTTGATTCTGGAGCAAAGCCTTGACCTTTGCTTTCGTGCCTGCTGCCTTATCTTACGTCAACATATAGTGCCCTTGGGCCCTGTTCCTCACTGACATTGTGGCCCTTTGCACTGGTAGCCTCCAGCCCTGTGGCAGGGGGACTCCCCAGCCCCGTGTTGGTGGCATCTACACCATGTCCCGGCGATGGGGTGGGCCAGGCCAGGGAGGAAGGGGATGACATGCACAATACACATTCTACTTCCAAGGGTTAAAACTTTGCAAGTGTTTCTTTCCCCCTGCTCCCATGCTGCATTTCTGCACACTGGATTTGCTTCCAGCAAACATCACTGCAAGTTCCCTGCTTCTCTTCAGACCTATCTGTAAATCCCTTTTGGCTTCCATATAAACACTCCAAAAGCATAAGCTGTCCTGTTACCAAACCTCCATACCAGACCGATCGCTTGTTCTCCCCTTCTGTGTTTATTACAATGTCTATGATCCATTCATGATCTAAAATGTACAGAAAAAATGCAGCATTTCATTAAGGTGACACACAGGACAGGTGAACACGGGCTCCGTGACCAGCCTCAGCGCAGCCACGAGCCCCTCTGGGGCCCTTAGCCCTGTGACAGGTGCAAGAGAAGCTCCCTCCTTCCAGCCCTGATCCGACACTGTCCCTGGCACGGACCCAGCCGAAACCAAAGCCCAGATGAAGCACCAGAGACGCAGGCCCTGGCAAATGGCCCTGCTCGCCTGGCCAGAGCCCGTGTCCCAGGCCTGCCCCTGGGCTACGAGCGCAGGAGTGGGAGCAGAGCTGCTGCCCGGAGCAGAAGAGCCATGGAGAACTCGGAGAACTCGGCTCTCCCCGCGCGGCAGCCATGGGCGCCAGGACTCATCTGCCCCTCACCAAGCAGCGGCAGCCATGGCCGAGCTCAGGGCCTGTAACACACCTGGAGCCCTTACGCACAACCGGACGGGTGGGATTGAGCTCCAAGACGTGAGCTGCGACTTGCCACTTTGTCCTCATTCTTCTGACACGTAACACGAGTCTCACCGCACGACCACGTAAAATCTGCACCTTCCTGGTGAGCTCAAAGCCAAGAGACTGGAAAATTAACGTTTTCTAAGCAAAAACCCAGAACAATTTGGGCACTTTTTTTTTTTTTTTAAGAACTAGCAATAATATATGCTTTGATTATAGCTCACCGTGGTTCCTTCGGAGTCTCGTGTTTCCTTGATTTTCTAAAGGAGAAAAGCCAAGCCAAAGGTGATCTGAACCCCAAAAAGGAAGCTGACGAGTTCTTTTGTGCTTGAGGACTTGTGCAGGACGACATTTTCAATTCTTTATGATCTAAAAAATATTACAAAAATTTGATTTGTTTCACGTTCTTATTAAATACTGTATTAAAAGGTACAGGAAAATTAAATCTTCACAGGCAGTTTTCTGGAGGCACTCACATTCTTTAGTCCCTTGCTTTTCACTTTTGTATAAAATTTAATACAACAAATTGAGATTAAGGTTTCATAGAATTGCTTACCATGAGATTCTGTGCACTACTCCAAGGTAACAGAGTAACTTTTTCTGCTATAAAAAGAACACTTCAGTCAGGACCAAGGCACTGCATCTTTTTTTTCCCATTTATAAACCACAAGTCTGAGATAATACAGCAGCTGAGAATGCCTTATCCACTTTATCTCAGGATAAAGCAAGGGGCAGTGAGAGCTGAGCATCACTGATATATGCAGCAAGAGGCAGCATTTTGGGTCTGTCCTCAATGAAAGCAATAATTCCTGTCACACGATGCATGGCCTATGTGCAGAACACGAGCTCCCACTGCAGCAAGCACTGCTGTGCTTGACCGAACGCCGCGTCCTTTGCACCCTGCAGCAGCTACCCTCCTGGTGACACTGCTCAACGTGGCGGCAGGGAGGTGACAGCAGGAGATGTAATGACACTGCTGTAGCCACCGAGGCCCAGGGACGCAGCGGGACGGGGCTCGCAGGTAGAAGTAGCACCTTTTATTGTACCATCTCACAGAGCTGCAAACACCAGACAAGCCTCGAGGGACACAAGCCCTTCTGCAGGTCTCAAACAGAAACAGCGGCTTTCAAAGCCACACAGAGCAGGAGAACAACCACAGGGACAGGGACACGTAATGTGACGGAAAAAGGAAAACAGCGGAGAACCATGGACTGCGGGGAACGTGGCGGGAAAAGGGGCAGGAAACAGATCTCTATTTTGTTTATGTCTCTGTTTTTAAAGAATCTTTTTCATGTTACTTTTTGGAAATCCTGTTCTTGTATATGATTCTGCATACAGCTGCTGTGATACTGAAACAGGAAAAGCTAAATAAAAATGTGCAGAGATGTGAATGCAATAGCAGTGCATATCATGCAAGAAATCTGGATGGAAGTTGAACAAGAAAGTACAGATGCCATTTTTGGTAGAGACAGCATGTCTTTGCATGTTGTTCCTTTCAGATGGGAGCAGCACCTGTGAAATGAGATCTCCAAAAGCTGCTTCTCAGTCAGACCAGCTTTCCAGGCTCTGGGTCATCCACCCTCCTAATCAGCACCGGCTCAGCACCTTTAGCCCCATGTTATCAGGGAGGTTTCTGCCACCACAGTCAAATCTCTTTCAACCAAACCCATGTTTCTTACTCCAAATGTTACTTAGGTGCTTCCATTTCCTTTAGGAAAATTAGGTAGACTAAAAGCGATTTTGCACGAAGTAAATATTACTGCTTTAATTGGAAATGAACCACTATATTTACTAAGAGAAATTGTAGGACAAGAATATCAAGAACTCTGTATTGTGACTCATAGCTATGCTTCTAACTGAATTTGCTTAAGCAAACATGCTCATCTTGAAAGTACATTTTTTGACAGAACTTGGACGTGAGAAAAAACTCAATGCAATTTCAGAAACTCCTTATTTACTGAACTTGGTGACCATTATCGTGTGTGAAAGAAACTGGAAAAAGGCAACTCACTGTTTTTTTTGCTCTTCCTGAGCTGATGCTCTAGGGGTTGCTTCAGCATTCTATGGACATCAGTGTTATTCTGAAATTTTTTTCTTTGTATTTCTTCAAACCATTCTCCAGTCACTCCCTGTAGCCCTGTTTCAGACGTCTTTCTCTTCAGAAGTTTTCTGAAAAGGAAAATATATATATATTTTAGACTCATTTTAGTACAGCGTCATCATCAGGAACTCTCCCTGTTCTTCATGTAGATGTTCACAGCAAATTTCTACAAGCAACATGACTTTAAAAAAAAGATACAGGGGTACACGGGCTATGCACAGCTATCACATGAGAGGCAGCACTAGGAGCAGAGTTCTGCTCATCGAGGAGATTGGGTCTCCCTAACTGGAATACTCATAGGCTTATGTTACTCCCTGCCTCAAAGAGCTGCATCCTTCATCCTTCCAAAACCCTAGTAATAATTCATAAGCCTCATAAAATTAATCGAAAGCAAGATTAAGTTCAGTCAATAACCCAATTAAAAGAACTAATACTGTAACAGAGTGTTTTTTTGAAATATTTATCCATTCACTTAAGCAGAAGCTTAAGATAGTTCTGATTTTCAGCAAGAAGCTCTCTGGGGCACTGACATGGGCTGCCCACCCCACACGTTCAGTGTAAAGCAGAATAATAAATGTGGAATTCAGCTCAGAGCTATTCGTGTGACATGTTCAGCAAGTCTATCACATTTTCCTCTTTCCTTGCTGCAGAGTGATTTTGCCTGTGTTTAATATGTATATAACCGACTCATAGTGAATACAAATGTTTTGCCAAGCAGATGCAAACACAGAGCAAGCCACACGGATGTGGCTCGAAGTAAAGAAGTTGGTTCATACCAGATTCTGCTCTTATACCAAGTGTTCACAGGGAGAAAAAAAAAAAAAAAAAAAGCTGTTCATCTGGACATAAAAGACTAACGCAGAGCTGCAAAGGAGTCTGGATAGTGCAGCTGACATGCAGAGTTATTTGTTTTCAAATTACAATATACAAGTGCCTAACGTGGAAATGCAGAGGTGGCAAACCCACACCCAGCCTATTCTGAGCAACAGAGCCAGACTTTGTGCACAGCCTGCAGATACAATACCCATATTTTAATGAGGCTTTCATGTAAATCTTTCATCTTAATCTATGGCAAAACACATATCCAAGAATACAGACATTCTCAGAGAACATATAATATTTCACTTATCAATTTAAATAAATATCTCTCTTTGAGACATTACTTCAGAAAACAAACATAAAATTGAACGTCTAGTCTGGAAACATGGGTACTTCTGTCTGGAATTGATATGGACTTGATAGAGATTATCCATCTGGTGGCATCTGAAGGGTAGCAGGGTAAAACAGAGACATTTCTGGTAAACTGGGAACATTTTCCTTGAAGCTGAACACATGCAGCAGGGCTAGACATGTGGAGTACTGCATCACAAAAGCTAAAACATGAATCACCACAGATCCTTCTGTGCCATGGGAATGGTTAAAGCAGGCAAATGCTGCATGCACAGGGAAAACCTCCTGGCAGGAGCGACAGGAGGAGAGGAACAACGCGCTCCTCCGCGCCAGCGGCCGGCCCCGCGTGCAGCATCCGGCTCTCCGGAGGCTGGGAGCGTTCGGGGAGCGGCTGCCGGGAAAGCAGGCACGCGGCTCGGCCCGAGTCCTGGCCGCGGAGAGCCTCTCCTGCAACCCATCCTCCCTTCTGCAACACCCAGAATGGGCTGGCTACCTCATCCGCATAAGCTGTAAACAAGTAACTCAGAGAAAGAAGGTCCACTTTTAATCTCAGGACTGCTTGGGGATATTTCTTTTCCTTTTTTATTTTTTTCTTTAAGAGGAAGGCATCAGTTCAACTGCACGGGGTGCAAATCATGTTTAGCATAGTGCCATCTATTGGTAAAAAACAAACAAACAAAAAACAAAAACAAACAAACAAACAAAAAACAGATGAGTTCCCTCCATTACTAAACTTGCAGTACAGATTTTCCCAGGAAAGTTCTTCAAGACATTTTCTCACTGTGCTGATTCTTACATTATTTTTCTATTAATATCTCTTTGCTTTAAATGCATGCATTCCATAAAGATGAAAAAACAAAGAAAGTCCAGTTACACTAACATCTGCATTGCACGAACACCCCAGACACTGCAGACATGTCAACAAGCTTGCACAAATGCTGGCACGACATTCCAGCATCTTAAGGTCTCTCCTGGCACGTGTTTGGCACTAGCTGCCCTCACTATCTGTGAATGTGCTGCTTATGAACTACGCTGTCATCTCCGTCTCACGAAACAGCCTCTGAACTGCTCGTGCCTCTTTACATACATACGCGTGTACAGAACCCTGCGTGTATATATATATATATACACACACACACACAGGATTAAATGAGTACAGAATCATCATACGATGTAAAATAAGGGCACAATATCATACGACTACCATTTGTGACTCAGAGCCAAGCCATGTCATCTCTGTGTGCCCCTGCGCTGCACGAGGCTCCCAAGGGCAGCGGCGAGGCAGCAGTGAGCTCTCGTGGCCAAGAAGGCCAATGGGATCCTGGGCTGCATTAAGAACGCAGTCCTGTGCCACGTGCTCTAGGTGACCCTGCGTATGCAGGGGGGTTGGACTAGATGATCTCTAGAGGTCCCTTCCAACCCTAAGCATTCTATGATTCTACGAAGGCCGGGCTCTGGGGGCGACAGGAGCCTGCCCTTGGGGCAACAATCTCGTCAGCCCCATTGCAAACGCACATTCAGACCCCGCTCTAGAGGAAGGTCCAACACCAACAAGGCTTCCAAACCCAAGGCGCTAATCCTGCTTCCCGGGCTGCTCCATCCCTCTTTCCTACCGCCTCAGGATGAAGCGAGCTGCCTTCCCGGAGACCACATCCCAGCACGTGACTCACCCGGATCAGGTCTTTCACCATGTCTATACAAACACCTCTTCCTCCCTGGCACCAGCACGCACTCCCCATACCTCTCAGGTACCTCTCGAGGGAAGAGCCAACCTGAATGCTTGTCTGCACGAGGACTTTCATGTGGGTTACCATAAACCTCGCTGCAAGAGCCGCAGTTGCTACCTGCCACTTCCCGAGTGATCACGAGAGTCTCTCTCGCTCTTGTCAGAGAAGTGTTTTCTCCACCGCCCTAACACTGAGTAGGGAGCAGGAGACAAACATGCAAGGCAGTAGGAACTGGGTGGCCAAGCAGGTTTTGGGGAAGTTTCTGCTGTTTGCCAGGGAGAGAGGACTCAATTCATGTTTGTCAAAATGAAATTTCAGCTCCTGCTGATTTCCATAGAAGCAGCATTTGGCCCAAAATGATCCTTGCCACAGACAGAGGAGGGAACGTACCCAGGGAAAGCCGCACCGATGGGACGGAATATTTTATTGCCTACCTGTTCCCCGCAATTTTATAAAAATCATTTAAAGACACACATTCAAGCTGTCTTCCTTTTTTTTTTAAAAAAAAAAAAAAGAAAAAAGGGTGAAATTGTTACTGACAACAACACAGACTACTCAGATGACTTCATTTTAAAAAAATATGTATTATTCAGCCCTTCGGAGGAACACACAACAGGAATAACAACAACATTCTGGTTTCCAAGGTACCGGAGGAGCCTCTGTGGCAGGTTAATCCTCCCAGGAAGAAAGAAGAGCATTTACAGAGCCAAGACACGCTGTCCTAGTGCAGCCACGCCAAGTTTCTAAGGCAGACCTCATTCTTAGGAGCTTTTGTTTTGTTTTAACTCATATTAGAGCAATCCTTTATTTATTTTTCTTTCTCCCTGTCTTCTATTTGGATATGGTCAATAAATCAGGTCAGCTGTATTATTATATTTAAAACATTATGCAGATGTACATGAATCAGAGAGGAAAACCGACTTGATGTTTTGGCTGCATGAACCACGAGACAGCATACACAGATCTAAATGCCTCAATTCACTTATTTGTATTTATAAAATTGAGCATTTCATGAAATAATAATCTGGAAAATCAAGGCCTCCCCATGCCAAAATGCTTGTAGGTTACTTTATTTTTGATTAACAAAATGTCGTGTTGGTAATAATGCTCAAATCAAACCTGCTATGTAGTTACTAATTAATCAGACAGATTTCATTTACATACATTTGTTTCCTAAGTCTTAAAGCTCTATTATTATCACTACTACTGTCATTTTTAATTATGTATTGATTTTATACCTAGCACACTAAGCTATTCACCAAAGCATATTTGTCTCAGTATCTAAGCAATAAAACTGAAGATGTACAAGGGCAAAGATTCAAGCCCTGACAAGGAGGCCTGAGGCATGTGCTGGTTCATCATTCCCTTCCGACCGCGACCCAAATACCAAGAAAATTAATAAAATGACTTTCACTCTCTTCAACAGGCTTCAGATCAGGCTGCTGGAGTCACCCAGGGCAGCTCTGGGAGGAAAGGGATGACAAAGTCCCGAGGAAGGCTGCCTTCAGCAGCACAGGGAAAAAAATCACAGCACAACACTGAACTCTAGGGGAGTTCAGTGCAAACCCAGGCTGAGGGATCCAAATAGTTGTCAGTCCACAGTTCCAACTATTTGGATTCTGAGAATATGCAACAATCAGGTGAAACGTGGGGAAAAAAGTAAGAAGGGAATTAATCTTCCCTTTGGTTTTTCTCTTGGACTGTACATTTTCCAAGACAGCGGTGCTGTAGATGCAAAACTACCATTCCTGCCCATAGTTATGCTACCCATTCAGTCACTTTCTTTAGCTCACTGTTACATTTATATTTATAAAATTCTTGGGGAACTCCAGGAATCCCCAGAAGCCTCACAGCAAAGGACGAGCAGCAGCACCACGCTGCACGTAGCTGCATCTGTAAGAGAAAACCCAAGCAAAGCGCAGCGCTGCACTACCCCGTTCCAGGGCTTATGCATTTCAATTAAAAGTGACCGCTTGCTCCACGCAGTCCAACGCCAGCAACGTGCGCATTCATCGCATGCAATCCACAAGGGCAATGAGGTGTTACCAATCTGCTATAGACAGGGCTCTGAGCAGACAGTTTTTCTAAGTACACAGCACAGGAGAACTCACAGTCCTCTGAGCGGGTGATCAACAGGAGTGAAGCAGGTAAAACACCCCCAGCAATGACCCAGCTGTCCAGGATCTCCAGCTGCTGGTCTGGATTCCCTGCCCTGTCCTCTGCCGGGAGTGCAAATAGGGGAAAGCTCCAACGTGAGACTCTTCCACAGCCGATGTACAAGCGCTGTGCACAGGCTGCAAACGGGTCAAGAGCCCACGTGCAGGGTGTGCTGCACGTTACCCCACTGGCACCACGCACGAGCTGCCCGGCAATCCCGCACGGCAACAGCAAAACAAGTGCGTGATGCAACGGGCAGGAAGGCTACCTCGCATCGCTAGCGTGTGCCACCTGTGCTTCTCCCCAGGGTAATTAGTATCTCTGCTGAGATGACTTCATTAACAGGAATGCATTAATAGAGGCTAGCAGGTGGAGTGGGTATAGTTCTCCACGCTGATTCGGATTGGTTTTGAAGGGGTGGATGGAGGCTCAGTCCAAAATCATCATGTCAGGACTAATTTGGGGCTCCTCAATTTCTGCCTGGGAAATCTTATACAGAAATAGAAGTATATATCCTGTGTGCCACACATATATACGTGAACCTCCGCTTTCTGTATGCTTTCAACTGCATAAATGAGGGCACTTGAGCACACACGACCAGTGCAGCAGCGGAGGCAAACCTGCTGCAGTAGATGGTGCTGGTGAGCTGGAAGGCCGGGCTTTGGCCTCCGGTAAGGCCGAGGCTAATGATTAACAGCAGAGCTGTTTACTCTTCCAAAGCAGAGCTGCCAGGTGAGTGGGAGACCTTTTATAAATATTGACAGAGGGCTTAGAGACAGCCCTCTGTGCAAGTAACACACACCTCAGCTGTTAACGTTGCAAACCGAAGCACTTTCCAAAGACATGTAATGCTGATGCTGTCCCTCCTGCTACTGTGAGGCTTTCTTTACATAAAACCTTCTCTAGTTAGCAGTGTAAGCGAAAACAAAACAAAACAAAAACACTAAGAAAGAGAAACAGGCCAGGTGAGAACTGAAGGATGGGAATCGATTTCCCATAGAGACTAAGGACTCTACCAGCAGGTTTGTGTGGAGGCCCATAGACCTGCACAGAGCTCTAAAATTGAGAAGCTCTGAGTGGACTCAGATATTTATTTGCATAGAGCTAAGTTTGAATCCTAAGGCTGCCAAAATAGACACTGCAGCCTCATCTAACCATGTGGTGTCACACACATACACAGGGCTGAAGCAAGATTCTGGTCATCAGAAGGAACACAGTGGCACAGTGAACACAGACACAGTTCACGTGTTACTATAATAACATTAAAGTTATGCTTGTGTTGCTTTAAATTACTTTAAATTCAGGAAAGTAGCTGTTAGACCCAGCATAAAATCTGAATGTCTACCCTGGATGTTTTTCATGTACAAGCATAAGACTTACATATTCAGGCAGATCCTCTTAATCCACAGGCCATCTCTTAATTCACAGCTCTTCCAAAAAGGTGGAAGTGGCACCTCCATCCAAAACAGAGATGTGGACATGGAGGCAACCCAGGGCTAAGGGAGACGCAAATCCCAAGGAGCAGGAAGCAGAGCCCCTGGTCACGCTGCTGCGCCTCACTGGGCAGCTCGGGCCTGCAGAGCTGCAGAGCCAAAGCCGCAGCAAGCCCAAGGACTGGGGTTTCTTTATTATCCTGACCACAAATTAAACTGCAATTCGCGCACAATGAAGTATCAATAGAGTGAACTTTTTGTCACTTACTCTTAGCTTTAGTTCTGTACTGATGTGTTTGGTCAGGGATACTAAGGTAGCAATACGCGTAACTATTTGTTTTTGAGATATGAACTCATCAAAAGACTGTAGATCCTGATAGGAACTAAAAATGCAGGCATTTAATACAGCTTAGGGCATTTAATAATGTTAACATGACAATCTAGCTACACTAGATTAGAAGGATTAGATATAAACTCCATGTGAACATTTAGACGTACAAATCCTCAGGAAATGTTACCATTTTCGTTCCCTACTATTTAATGCATTTTTTACATGAATTCTGTAAGTCATGGCAAGTTTCAGACTGTCGCACTAGAAAAGAAAGTAATTTTAACTTTAAAACAAGTACAGGAAAGGTAGAAGTGAGACCTGTTTCTAGACTGCTTCACCCTGTTACCCTGTTACAGGGCACACAAAAATGTAAAAATGCAGTCTCTGAGCCCACTACTCAAAACTCCATTTGGCCAAACTACACTTGATTCAAAAATGAGATTTAGAGAGATTTTCAAAAGATAATTAAATTCCATACACATAAGCCACTGGACAAAATCTGAGCTTTAAAGGAGGAAAAAAGATGGCCACGCAGGGTATTTTTCAAACACCACCAAAATCCACACACACCTGCCCAAGGCAGCGAGCGTCCCTCCATACAGGCTATAGAAACTCGAGCACAAACACAGACGGAGCTTTCGAGCAAAAGGTTTGACCCTTTATAACACTAGAGGAAGATTATTCTAGAGAGAGAGAGAGAGACAAATAATCACAGAATCACAGGAGAGTTGAGGTTGGAAGGGACCTCTAGAGATCATCTAGTCCAACCCCCCTGCTCCAGCAGGGACACCAAGAGCACGTGGCACAGGGTGGCATCCAGGCGGGTTTGGAAGATCTCCAGAGAAGGAGACTCCACAACCTCTCTGGGCAGCCTGTTCCAGGGCTCTGGCACCCTCACAGGAAAGAAGTTCTTCCTCACATGGAGATGGAACTTCCTGTGTTTTGACTTGTACCTGTTACCCCTTTCCTGTCACTGGACAGGCCTGGCCAAGAAGAGCCTGGCCCCATTCTTTACATTTTCTCCTCAGGGACTTATATATATTGATCAGATCCCCTCTCGGTCTTCTCTCCCCTAGGCTAAACAGGCCCAGCTCGCTTAGTCTTTCCTCACACAATAGATGCTCCACAGTCCTTTCATCATCTTCGTTGCTCTA